GCACTGGAAAAACAACGGAGGTGTACCCAGCTGTACAACTGCAAACCTGGGATTCTACACTCCTCCTTGGAGCCATCGCTAGATGAGGTCCACCTTTTCTACCTCACAACCCTTGCCTGTGCCAGACAGTACTGGCACACCGCCTTTGGCTTGATGTTGAAAGCCCTACGAAGACCCCTGCAATCCTGATCCCTGTGAACACAGTCACCGCCCCAGAAACATACACATATTCCCCAGGATCAAGAACAATCACAGGATCAGTTTGCATGGATCTATCAACCTTTCTAACGCTCGAATGACCTGGTTCTCTTGCCGGAACTGTCACCCTAGAACCCTGGCGTTCATCAGGTCTGCTTGGGTCTGCACGATTCGGCACTGGGATGTGCACAGGGTCCCTCGACGTGCTGGGCTGATAAGCTGCACTGCTTGTTCGCTGACTCTGGTCAGCGCTGGTAGGTCCTTGTGGAATCTGAACGGTGATTCCACCATACACAACCGTCGGTGAAGGGGCTTGCCACCCTTCAGACGCAGTAGGCGCACTTGAGCCAGGACATTTGTTCCGGCCTCTCTGTCCCTTTGATGGGGCCTCATCCCCTGTAGGACTCTCGCTCATGGCTGTGTCAATCGCAGCTGCCACTCTGTCCTGTAGTTTCTTCGCCCGCCGTTCCTTGTGCGCTGACACTGCACAAACCCTTGCGTCAGCTGGCTGCTGACGTCGGCACGAACTGCAAGCTGTTTCCCACAAGAACAAAGTCGACAACACAATGAGCAGGGTAAGAACTCCTAGCTCCCACGGCCACTCAATTGAAACTCCACTCTCTCGAGCCTCTTCCTCTGTGAACTCTCCACAGCACTTGCAGAACTGTAGCAGGGCCACAACCGATGCCAAGCAGGAGTTTGGCACTGCTCCTACCGATCGGATTGCTGGACTATTCTCTTGAGGCTCCTGTGCCTGCACACCTTCACCTCCAAGCTGCAAGAGCCGGCACAGGAATTGCATGCGAGCAGAAGGCAACGCCTTCGTGAGGATATCGGCCTTCTGGTATTCACCTGGGCAGTGAGACACCTTCCACCCCGACTGCAGGAGTTGCCGTATCTTATATCCTCGGACCTTAAGATGTCTTGTTCTCTGACTGCCCGCCCCTTGGACAAAGGCTATCGAAGCCGTGTTGTCAAGGCAGAGTTCGGCGGACGTGAATGGGATTGCCAAATCCCACAATATGGTCATGAGCGACTCCGCGTACATGCAGCCCTCGACGGCTTGGATGAGTTCTGCCTCTGAGGAACTCAAAGATATCAGTGGTTGTTTCGATGCTTTCCAAAGCACCGGAACACCGGACACTTCAATGATGTGGCCACCGTAGGAATGCTGCCCCAACGGAGCGAACGACGCGTCGGTGAAGACTCTCAGGGGTGCAACACCTTCTGTTGGCTTCAGGTGCAGCTTGAAGTCTTTCGTATGATGTAGATATGCCATCACACGCTGTCCGATGGCAATAGCACCGTGAGGGTCCTTCGAAACCTTGGAACACAGCACCGTTGTTGCAAACGCAATGTCAATGCGAGAACGCTGGGCCAACCAAAGACATTCGCCTGCAACCTTCTGAGCTGACTTCACGGTTTGCTCATCAAACTGTTGCACTGTTTCAGGCACATGCATCAGGATTTCCTTAGGACACACAATCTTTGATCGGTTCGCCTCACTGAGCTTGTAGGTCCTCACCAGCTCATCAACGTAGGCCCCTTGATCCAGGCTGAAATGCCCATCTTCATAGCCGTGCAACTGCATGCCCAGGAACCTTACAGGATGTCCAGGGCTCGCTTCGCTCAGGCCATCTGTTTCCCAACCGGCCTCGCTTAACAGCCACTGGTGGAGGGCTTCTGCCGTGCTTTTCTCGCTGAGCACAAGAAAGTCGTCGACATAGGTCACCAGGTAGCCCTTCAGGTCCTTCCCCTTCATGATTCTCCATACTGACGAGTCTGCTGTTCCTTGCTCCAGATGACATCCTGCAAAAACTGCCTTCTTCAGTTTCGCATCACGATGGTCTGACCACCAAGCAGGGGCTTCTTTGAAGCCGTACAACACCATTCCCAGGGAATAGTATTCCCCTGGTTCCGCCAGTCCAAGATCAATGAGCCACCGGGGAGGTCGCAACAAATAACGCTGAGCAGCATAGGCCGGAATCGGCGTTTGCGTAAATGCCGACTTGATGTCGGTTGTGAACGCCCCCCACTTGTGGTGGTAAGCCTGCGTCAAGGCTACTCTCACCGCTTCAGCTGGTGCTCCGGCTGCGTACAAGGAGTCTGCATCCACATGTGTGGCCTGGTTGCCACATCCCACCAATCTGCACTTGCGCTTGAACCACCCATCATCAGGTCCTCCTGGGGCCTTCACTTTGAAAACCCCTTTCAAGGAAATCACCGTGGTGTCGGGATTCTCAATCAGCGCTTCTGCCTTTTGACCGCAACAACTAATGAGCACACCTTGCTTCTTTAGAGACCCTAGCTCCTTTTCAATGGCTGGCCTCCACTTCTCAAGGTTAGCCCTCACCTCCTCCTGGGAGGCAGTGTGCGTCACACTCAGCGGCTCATGCAGCTGACTCAAGAGAACCCCCAGATCCTTAGTCGTAGTGGCCTCGGCTTTGCACGCAAGTACCTCGTGGTCCCCTTCTGTCACGGGTTGTTCAGGCACGACCCTGATGAATGCAGGATTGGGAAGAGGAATAGGAAGCCTCAAAGGCGGGGTTGGATCCTCGACCGTTCCTGCTTCAAACTTCACTGCGCGGACTTCTGGAGGCGGCGGTCCAGGGGGTTGAAGGATTGGATTCATCACCTCCTGAGGCTGCTCCTCCTGAGGCGGACGTCTTGCCTCCACACGCAGTATCACCATTTCGAGAACATCACGGATCACATCGTGCACCGAAAACATAAGCATGCGATCAGGGAACGGAGACTCTTCCGTTGGGCCGTCGTCTGCAAAGTCCACGACACGTGCAAGCAGGCGTGGCTCTCCCTGAGCTCCCGGTACAACCAACTCCGGGTTTCTATGCCAATTTCTTTGTCGGAACACCGTCTGCATGAACAAATGATGAGGAATTGAGGCCGACAAAGAGTTCATGTTTGGGTCTTCATCCTGACCTCCAAGCACACGCTGCCATCGACCCATCCTACGCTCGAACTCTTCCTCCTCCAGCTGACACAGCTCGGCCCATTCATCACCAGTCATCCTTGCGTACCTCACCATCATTGCTGCTCTGCCTGGAGGTGGAGGGTAAGGTCTTGCACGGACACCGGGTAACCTTGTAGGGCAAGGTCCGACCAACTTACACACCATAGGAGTGCGGTCCAAGGAAGGCAACCTAAACCCTAGCTCTATCAACTGGTGCTGCTTGAATGAGTTGAGCTTCGTATACCCCAATGGAGTGTATCCCGCAATCACCCAATTTGTGGCAGGGAGCACTGCATGGTGGCACTTAGGATCAAACACAGTTGTGGCTTGCGTCAGGGGTAGCAGATATCCCTGGCGACTGCGGCCTTGATTATCCTTTTGCACGGATTCCGTGAGCACGGGAGAAGCACCTTCCACCCGCATCATTCTAGTGGTCAGTTGCGTAACATGATTCAAAGAACCCGGCTCAGTCCTCACGTCACGATGCATTGCAACCTCATCTGCAACCACAACCATTAGGGACGACCACTCATTTTCAGCAAGCTCATTGGGGGAGCATCGGCGCAAATACTCGTTCAAGTACCGGCACACCATTGGATACATTCGACTAGCTCTGGTTATCCCTTGCAAGCCACCATGGCTATACGCACCAAAGATAACCGAGAACCCGATCGGACCCCTATGCTCTCTTCGAGTGCCCCCTTCAACTCCACCAAACGCTAGCTGCAACAGACGCCCACAATGATCGGAGGTAAAGAGCTGTTCCTGCAACAAGTTTTCAGCAAACACTTCCGGAGCCAACTGCACAGAACGCACCGCCCTCTTGCCTGTCACACGTCTGCTTGGCACAGTTGGGAATCCACCTTGGGAGTGATCAAAGCCTGGCTCTGGTGGATCTGCTTCTACGATCTCTTCATTCCCGAACTCAGCCTCGGGATCAATCATTTCTTCCACACATCGTACATTCTTGGCAACAAGATATGCACTCGAAGCTGCGCGGAGCAACACATGTCCTCCCTCCGTTCGTGGTGTTGGGCAGAGGTACACAGCATGCTCCCAGCGTAGAAACGGCCTCTTAGACTTGCCTGTTGGGTGCTTGCTCTTGAAAATCACCTTTTGTCCAAACCTAGGTAGTTTTTCACCCGTTTGCAACAAGCGGCTACGATGCTCTGCACACGCAAAGGCCATTGCTGATGGCCACTGTTCCACACCGAGTCCTGACGAAGCCAAGTGCAACCTCGCTCTAGCCTTCACCCAACCTACTAGTCTTTCGGCTAAACCATTAGACTTTGGGTCGTCACCCTGGGTAAAGGAAGGTTGGATTAGATTGGACTGAAGCCAATCCATGGTAGCCTTGGACATCAACTCCTTGGCGCGGTCGGTGTGTACGATCTTCACGGGGTATCCGAGACGATTGCACTCGGTGACAACTTCTTGTAGGCCGGCAAGGATGAGTGGACCCTTCCTTGCCTTCAGAGGCACTGCAAACCTCAACACCTTGTTGGCACCTGAGAAAAGCATCTCGGAAAGCGCTTCATCAAACTTCTCATCTGTCATCTCACTGAAGCCCCCTGCATCCTCCCAAGGATCAACATCCAGACCAACCCCGCCTTCAACATCAGGCCCATCATCAGCTTCCACAATGGCCTCGGCCTCAGACGGAGCGACATCATCCACAAATGGAGCTTCAAACCAATCTGCTTCGGAACACTCATCCTCCTCCTGGGATGAATCACCATCCTCACCAACCTTCATCACAGCCGGGTTTGGGGTGAGCTGCTCTCTCAGCCAGCTGGCTTCTGACGCTGCATCATCATCTTGCTCATTGCCACCCGGAATCTCAGCCTGAGCTTCTGAAGCCTTCGCCTCGACCTCTGTCGTGCCCTTGCTGTGCTTTGGTGATGGCAAAGCGGCTTCCGGAACTCGCAAACCTGCCACAAGCACATACTTGTACTTTCCACCACGATCGTCCCGGCCTAACTCCTTGAACGGCCCTGCCAGGTCGAAGGCCAAAGCGTACATGGTAGGGCATTTGACACGACGGTGCTGTAGCCCCAAGGCGCCAGACATCACACATTGTATGCAGTCCTTTCTAAACGGTATGTGATGCGCAGCGATATGTCTGCGCCACCGTTCACGTTCAGCCTCTGTCATGCGCGAAGCTGCGCCGGAGCCCTTAGCCTTGCCACCTACTTTTGCACCTATAGAGCCGGACGGCGCCTGCACGTCTACACTTGCACCGCTGCCGACACATTGGCCTTCACCATCTCCTCCTGACCTTAGAGGCTCCTCTGGTACCTCACTGGAATTCCCAAGCTCACCTTCATTTGCATGCTCGCCAGTCACAGCCTGAACTTCTGGCGCAGGAGGTTTGAACGACACTGGACCTGAAGGCAGGTTGGGATCGGTCAACAGATAGGCATCTGCTGCCTCCACCACCTTCACAGACGTAGGCTCCTCCTCGGCCCGTTGGGGTATCGCCAATCCAAACAGGGCTAGGCTAAGCTCACCTTTGAAGACGTTGGGCCACTCCGGGTCTAGGGGTGCTTCTTCGACATGGGAAACAGGAGGTAGAGATCTCACTCCTTGTGAAGGGAAACCCAAATTGGTGCACACGTGAAAGGGCTTCGTTTGCCTGACACCCTCAAACACGCCTGGAACCCCAAACTCAGTGCTGTTGCTCCATTCCGCAAACGGGTGCACAACAGCCTTCAGCCAAGGCGAGGAGCGAGATTCGCTTTGAAGCACATGGGTCTGACAGAATGGTACACCTTCACCCTTTGCAAGCGAAGCGAGTGTCCACAACCACATAGGTTGAATGCCTAGCAGGGTGTCATCATCAACCTTAGCTTGCATCTCATCACTGTTGCTAGGCACTCCCCACAAATGTTCCTGGCTTCGGAGTTGCACACAGGATGTGGCACTAGTTTTCACGGGGCTCCATGTCCTCATGGGTGCGCTGCAAACTAAACCTGCCACACGACCTGAAAACGCTGCCCATGATAGAGCCTTCCACACTCCAGGGTCCAGGAGGCCCTTTGTGGTGTTGTCAAGCACCACAAGTTCGAGGCCTTGCACCTTGCACAGTTGCCTCAAAGAGGGATCAACTTGATTCGAACCCAGATGCAACACCCAGGCATGGGACTGGTGCAATCTCTTCCTTGTAGAACGATTGAAGGGAAGACTCTTCATGACCTCCCATCCGACTGCGTCCTCGAGATCCACAATCAACCGATTGGACACCTGGATTGGTACCGCACACAAGAAGGGTACGAACTTGGCGAACGCCGCTGCCGAGCTGTAGCTCCCGCTGGTGACAAATGCATCCACAACATCATCAAAACGTACTCCCCCTGCCACCTTCAGCTGTGCTTGAACCCTTTTCAACCTACCCGAAAGCTCTTGTAGCCTGGCGCTCTCTAGTTCCCGGATTAGCTGCAAAGCCTGTTCCTTTCCGAGCTGCGGGCATCCACTCTTCAAGCTGGTTTTGAGCCGTCCTAAGCGCGGGTGAACAAGATGCAACCCTGACTTGCGAGACCAACGCACTGAGCAGCCGAGTTGTTCAATCAAACACCCCAATGGCAGTATGGTCTGTGACACACTACCCTCCTTGTTTCCTGGAGCCACCAGCGACCCCCCAGGTGTTTGATGCCAAACCTGTCTTTGGTCGCCAGCTAGCGACACGGTGCACGGAATGAGTTCTGCTTCGGGGACAGATGATGCGTCTATCACAGCATGCGTAGCACCTGAGTCTAGAAGAGCCGTAGGCTCCTCCTGAGCTAATGCCTTGACCTGCACCGCTCTGATGTGAGGTCCTTGTTCTGAAAGTCTCGACTCTAGACTCTCAAGCTGGGCCTGAATCTTGGCCGCCGCTGCAATCGGCGACTCACTGCTGGGACCTGCCTGTTCACTTGAGCCTGCGGCTGAGGCCCCACGGACCGACTCAGAAGATCCCTGCACAGAACCCTCTGGGCCCCCGTCTTTTCTGTGACCCTTTCCTCCACAAGC